GCCGTATCCCAATCCCACCATAGGGAGATTGGCCTGGGTTCAGGACATCGCGAACTCCCCCTAGTGGGGACAAGGACAAAGTCCTGTTCAAGACAGTGCTTGTCTATTGATTAAAATAAAACAAGAGCAGTGGACAGTTCCCAAATAAAAATTAATTAAATCTTAAACCTATGGAAGGACATAGATGTGGCAAAGATGTGTTTTCACCTTTCTGACTTAAATGTGATTCCATTTGTTTTCTCTGATGGGACTGGGGTTTGAACTCAGAGCTTCACACTTACAAAGCAGCACTCTACTACCTCAGCCACACCTCCAGCCCTTTTCTCTAGTTATTTTGGAGATGGGGTCTCGAGAACTATTTGCAGGGGTAGCCATGAACTGTGATCCTTCCAATCTTAGCCTCCCAAGTAGCTAGGATTACATGTGAGAGCCGCTGGCACCAGGCTTGAATTTTGACTTTAAAGAAAGTTCTATTACATATATTTTTGTACCAGCACTTTAAAATCTAAGAGCAATCTTTGCAATATGATATTCATTATATTCACTGTACCTTATGTGAATTAAAAATTGGTCAGTTTGATAACTAGTAAGGCATTTAAGCATTCAGCTAAAGCTGCAAAGAAATCTCTTCCTTTCTTTCTTTTTTATGGTTTTTGAGTAGTCAGGCAGGCCCTGACCTCATGATCCTCCTGCCTCAGCCTCCTGAGTGCTGGGATTACAGACATGCACCACCACACCTGGTAAGAGAAAGATAACTTTTCTTTATGGTGCTGGGGGTGGAATGGGAAATACAAAGCAGTCTACCGCTGAGCTTCCTCCCAGTCTGAAATTTCTTAGTAAGTAGCATCCTTCGAACATGAACTGGAGTTAGCTGGTCTTCTTAAAATGAAGACAAAACAAAGATTTAAAAAGAGGCAATGACGTCTCCAGAAAAAGCATAATGACAAAGAGCTTTCTGGGGAGGACCAGACAGGAGGCAGTGTGGCAGTAGGTTCTGCTCCTGAGGCTGAGGGGAACTCATGGCCTGGGCGGGTGGGCCAATGGATCACATGGCTCACAGCACCAGGCTCTCCATGTGAGATTCCTGAACTGAGCTTGTGAAGAAGCCTCAATGCCAACAGAGAGCAGGACAGTGGACAGCTCATGGAACACTCCACTTCTCATTTTATTTTGGGTGTTAGTGAATGACTTCTGATCTAGCATTTTGAGTGTGGCTCACATAGCACAGTGTAGGATGTGGTAAGCAGAATGAAATAAGTAGTGTACTGGCTATTGGCACCATAGACCTTGAGCATTGGGTCATAGATATAACCACACAGTGAGAAAAACACACCTCATGTTCACCAACTTCAGTTGCTGTGATTAAAAAAAATTAAACTTCATTTAGTGCAATGTCTATCATATCACCTCATACACCAGGTACATGCTATGGAAATGCCTGGGCTCTGCACAGAGCAAAGCCAAGACTTAAACCGAAGGCGAAGGGGATGTGAACAGGAGCTTTCTATACATGTTACACACATGGACACGTCTGGGCTACTGTCCAGAGTTTTCACATACGTGTATGCGTCTGGGGTTTTGTCCATTTCACTAGATCTATCACGTGACTACTCAACCATGTCCACCACTGGCATTGTTGTTTCTTCACAAAGATCCACTTCTGCAGAGTGGAAAAAGACGACAGTGAAAAAAACCTTCTGGCTCTTCAGGCTCCAGCAGCCATGTCCCAGATGCCACAGTAAATCTGAAAAACGTTAAGAACAGTTAGAAATCTGAACAATTGCAAATGCAAAAATAAATACAGCCCAGAGTCTGGAAGAGTTAGTGTCTTCCCCTTTGTTTAATGCTTACTTCTACCTCCTGGATAATGCAAACTATAAAAAGGAATCCACTATGGTAAATGGAAAAGAGGAAGCTTTAAAAAGTTAAAGGGAGCTGGTCACTGGTGGCTCATGCCTATAATTCTGGCTACTTAGGAGGCTGAGATTGGGAGGATCTCACTTTGAGTACAGCCTGGACAAAGATTTTGAAAGACCCCATCTCCAAAATAACCAGAGCAAGATGGACTGGAGGTGTAGCTCAAGCCATAAGAGCACCTGCTTTATGAGCTCGAAGCCTAGAGTTCAAACCCCAGTTCCTCCATAAACAAAACAAAACAAAAAAAACGAAAGTTGAATGGACAGCTTGCCGAGTTTAGAAATGTGCATTCAGTTAAGCTTAGGGCATCTCCTCCCTGATGGAAGGGAGGTTTCTATCTCAGCCCCTCCTGCTGAGGACACCGCCTGCCTTTCCTCTTGCACAGGGAGGTCAGAGCACTGTCTGTGACTCGAAGGTCATCTTTCCGCACAGTGGCTTCCCGGCCCTCCCTTTATGGTCAAGCATGCAGGGTCTCAGGCACCCACCTGCATCCCTGGACGCCTAGCAACCGCACTCCTGTGCACTCGGAGCCTGTGTGCGCCGTGGTGACCGCAGCTGTCTCAGGGCAGCGTCTCCATACTGGATGCCAGAGCCCATTCTTTCTGGGTCCAGCTCACCTGGGGACCAAGCAAGTCTTCTTTAGAAACAATGACTATGTTCTGTGGTCCCCAAACATATTAAATGAAAAAAGCAAAGTGCAGAGCACCAGACATATACACCCATTTTGAAGAAAGAAGCAGAACATAGATGTGTGTACACAGGCATTAAATATCTAGAGGGATCAAAGGACTGAAGACACAGCTGACTTCAAGGAATTTCAGATGGTGGGGACAGAACAGGGTGTAATGGAGAGAGCCTTCCTCTGTATTCTCTTCTGTACTGCTTGAAGTTGGAATTATGTGAATATATTATGTATACAAAAACAAGTCAATGTAAAATTAAACTACAGCGATTCTACTGTTCGTTTACAACTCTGGTAAAAACCCAAGGCTGATGACACACGCTGTGCACAGCAATGAAGCAGCTATGGACAGAGAGCTTGTGAGAGCCGCCACCTGCCCTTCTGTGCTCCGATCCTGACCCAGCAACTCCACCTCGGGAGCTTGTCTCCCATGTACCCCGGGCACATGTGAAAGGATGATTAAAAGGTTTTTTTTTACTGCAGCACCCTTCATAACAACAAGATGCTGGCAACAACCCAGAGGTCCTTAGCAAAGTGGTGTTTGTATAAACACAGTAACACACACATGGCGCAGAGTGCCAGTACCAATATCACATATACGCAGGTATATGGAAATTCTACTGATAGCAGGTATGAGAAAAGAGCAGGATGCAGTTTGCCCTGTGCTCACTTCTGTGTAAAGAAGGGGAGGGAGCAATGGTTTTTGAACCATATGAATGTATTTCCCATTTAAAAAAAATACAAAGTATTGCTGAAGAATCTGAATTTGTATCCTCATATTTTCTCCATCTGGACGTAATAATGAGTTTTATGGTCTGGGAAGAAATGCATTGTGAAAGATTTGTATGCATCTAGTTACACCTAGTGACACACTGTTGAAGTGGCAAGGCCATTTGAATAAAGACTCATGGTGAGCTTCATAACCTCAACACAAAGCAAATTGCAACCATAAATATTTGTCTTACAGAGTCTTTAAAAAATGAGTTTTTGTACCAAGTTTGGCAAATTTTCATTTATTTCCTGGTCAAAAGCACACAAAGGGATGGAGTATCTTTTGTGTCTTGAAACTCAATCCCTCTTTAGTCCCTCCACCCTGACCCAACAATTTCCCATGTCCCTTGTTCTTCCCTTGTGCCCTCCTTTTCTGGCCCTCTCTCCCTCACCTCCCTCCTATTTCTTTCTGTATTTACACATGCTGCAATTTCTCCCATCACCTCAGCCCCTGACTTAAGTTGACTCTTGGAACCCTGTTGTAGCCACCTCCCTCAAGAAAGGAGCTGCCTTTCATCTGGGGCCATCCTAGCTGATGCCGTCTGCTGCTCAGGAGCCTCCTGAACTGTTGATGAAAGTGCTGGGTCCCTCAAGCTGCCCACCCAATCGGGCTTTCACAAAGTACTCAGCTGAGACTGTTTGCTACTGAGTCAGCATGAGCTCCCATCTTGTGTTCATGATCTGGTTGAGGGACACCTGTGTCCCCTGTTCTTTTCACAGCCTCTGACTATGTCCTATCCTGGTTCTGTAGGTGGCTCTTGCTCTCCTCTTCCTTCCTCTCCACAGCAGTCCTGATACTGCTTCCTCCCTGAGAGTACGTTCCTTGATTTCAGCTCTCCCTGTGTCATGGCTCCCAGGTGGACAGTGCCAGCGAGCTTGCCCGGTCCTCCATGTATGCCCAGCACTGCTGTCAGTGTGACACCTCCAGCGTGGAGCCACCTTGACTCCCACAGAGTCCTGTTCCTCCAGATTCCACATCCTTCTTGTCTGGGGACATATGACAGGGAGAAGTCATCCTTGTCCTCTACCCTGACTCTCCTCTTCACTCTCCCTGATCCCAAAGTCAGCTACCTGTCCTGCCACTCAGTGTGTGACTGTGCCTGCCCCCTGTGAGGGACGCTTTGCATATCCTGCCTCTGCTTTGCACCCTACTGAAGTGTCAGTCAGTTATCCTCACTTGGATACCTCACAGATACCTGCCCCTGCTTCTGCTGGTCCTCACAGAGCCTCTACATGGCTATTCACGTCACAGCCTGACCACATCCCTTGCCTGTCCTGGGTGGACATCAGACTTGTAAGAGGGAATGTCTAGAAACATTGATGTCCATGTTGCTCTCCAGCCCAGCTGGCTTGGTGGCTTTTACAGAGGGGCCACCTGGGACCAAAGCTCTCAAAGCACCCAGTGACTGCACACGACAGGCTCAAAATGTGACACAGAAGGTGACTTCCGGGCCTTGGTGAGGACCAAGGCTGCTCCTGCTTTCCCAGCATCCCTGGTGCTGCTCCATCCCATCTTGCTTGGCTGCTCACTCTTCCCTGGGCTCAGTCACCTCCTCTGGAGACTTCTGTCCTCAAGCTGGGGAAGGCCCCCTTCTCACGTCATCTGCCAGTCACCCTTGCCAGCCTACGTGCCTCTCAGACACCATGTCATTAAAGATATTGTGTGATTGTCTCCTTCCTATGGAAGATGGTTTCCTGAGAGCAAAAGTTGTGATTTGTTCATGACAAAGAATAGGTACTTGGATACTTGCTTATTTTGAGACAGGGTCTTGATGTGTGGCTGAGGCTGGCTTATAATGCCCGGGCTCAAGCAATCCTCCTGCTTCAGCCTCCTGAGTAGCACATCCATGGTTGGGACCATGGGTGCCAACCAATGCCCAGGAGGGCTCAGATACTTGAGTACATTAATTAAAAGGTGAATCCACATATAACTTGGGTGCTATTTAAATAAAAGCCTACTTTAGTAAATGACAACTATGTAGTGCTGTGCCAGCTGCACTGTATAAAATTACCCTTATAGCGAGGCAGGTGTCAACTGACCACTTGGCTAGCTTATGCAGTATGGCTACTGTGGCTCACATGCTCTGTGATGCCTGGTCTGCAGCGACTAACAGCACACGATGTTCTTGCCCTTCCTGCCCATTGCCCAGCAGCTCCCTGCCTCCCACAGCTGACTGGTCCACCAACAGGATTAGCGTGCCATTGCTGAGCTCAGAGGCCTTCTCCTCAAGTGATGACCCCCAAAGCCATGGGTATAAAAGTGAACCCTCTGTCAGGACCAGCTGTCCTCCAGTTAGCAGTGCCAACTCCCCCTGGTCCTGGCAAGGGAGGCTCACACACCAGCCACGGGACTTTCAGACCCATCAGTGCAACTTCAGGATGCCCAGTGTGAGGGGAGCCCCTTTGCTAGTGATGCCTAAACACTAAAGGTGACACACACCACTGAGCCCAAAGGTGAGCCAAAGAGACGCTGCCCAGGAATGTCTTTACCTGACTCGATTTTGTTAAGTATTTTCCTTGCGCACTGCACGAAAGCCTCTTCTACGTTTTCCCCTGTCAGTGCGCTTGTTTCCAGGAACATCAGCTCTGAAAGTGACAGAGGATGACACATGGAGCCATGTTTAGAAGACAATCAAACTTTTTAACTCCTAACGGGCTGCTTAGAATTCTCTTATGATAGTGGCAAAATGTAATTCACAACCTAAACCCATCTATTTCTGTAAAGACAGATTTGATACATGTCAATGTCTTTTAAAATGTTAGAGGGAATCTAGTCTTTTCTGAACAGTAACTATCGTGCTGGCCCTAATCTACTGACAAGATGAGCGAGCCAGCACCCATTAGGAAGGAGGCCAATGCCCAAAGGGTGACTTACAGCCTCCATTTATGTGGAAGCAGCAATTTCCTTCTCCAAATGACCTGTCTGTCACCACAAGTATGATCTGCAGGTGTCTATGCTCACTAGGGGGCTATGCTGCAATATACCATCCAGAGCAGAATGGTCTTATATGAGTGAATGCTTCTTTTATCCCCACAGCAGGGGCTGATCCCAGTGGAAAAGCCTGTTCTGAGGTGAATGGCGGCCTCCTGGCCTCTGGTCCTGTCTGATGGAGGACACCCCTTCCCGACTGTCTCAGAACTGTCTCCTGTTCTGGATGTCTCCTTCGCACATGCCCTCATGGTGCACTGGCTATTCCCGCTCTCTTAGCAGAAAACCCTTCTTGAGTTGTAAGAACAGTTGTGTCTTGGAGTGCAATCAAATACTGACTAGGATATTCTACTTCTTGTGAATCTCAAAATTAGTCAAAACATCCAAATTTTTATTACTGTATCCATAAGTAACTGGATTTATGTGGTGGTCTTGTATACTTTATATGGTGATTGAGAGGCTTCAAAGTCACTTAAAACCAAATGACTTACACTTAGTGTAAGAAAAATAAAGCCAGCAAGCCAAGTGTGTCTTCTATGGCTTCCCTTTCTATTTAGAATGAATATTTCACCAACTTTGTTTCAAAATACATAAAAAGGGCTCTAGACCAAATCTAATATCCAGAGACCCCAGATGGGAAAGTCATTTTTATATATAATGACTTTTCCATCTGGAAATATATATGTATATATATTTAAAATGAGTATTGTAATTTCTCTTTCTTTGTTTTGGGAAGCACTGGGGTTTGAACTCAGGGCCTCACGCCTGCTAGCAGGTGCTTTTACCGCATGAGCCACTCTGCCAGCCCCTAGTATCTTAACTTTTGTAGGTAGAATGCAATATACCGAAATACGCTAACTAAACCTAAACTGATGGTGGAAATTCCACATTTCCAAACCAGTAGATGTTTTAAACTGAATGCCATGTCACTGCACCCACGTCTGCCCTTTGGAGAAGTCATAGGAGGGAGGAGGTCACTTGCCGTTCTCTTGCGCGAACCTGGAGGCTTCGAGGAAGGTGACTTCACGGTCTGCGTCCAGATCCTTCTTGTTCCCACATAGGATGATGACGATACTCTGGCTCGCCAGCATTCTGGCATCTGTTAACCAATTAGTAAGCGCATTGTAGGTTTCTCGGCTGCGTAACATAAGATTGTGGAAATAATACACGAATTTTATAAAACTAGCAACTCTTTCCAGTCATCCTCAGTATGTACACAGCTTTTCAATATTCCTGGTAAGGGTGACGATGGCTTGAAGGTAGTAATGAGGGCAACCTGATGCACCATGACACTCCAGACCCACAGGGTGTGCCTCACATTCAGTAAGTCACATATTCTGTTTTTCATTTGCCCAGCCAGGGTTCGAAAAGCGACGGAGACTTCACTCACTTCACAAACACCTGAGCTCTGAGTACGCGTGAGGTCAGTGCTGGACTCTGCCCACCAAGACACAACACTAATTGCTGCCACCTTGCACCACAGAATTTACCACACTGACTTCCCAAGGACTCTGTGACAGAGACTGCTGTGACCTCCTGCTGCGAGAAGCTATGGCCCAAAGAGACTACAATGTTCAAAACTGCACAGCAAGGCTGGGCAAAGCAGGACCTGGCCTGGTCTGTCTACTCCAGGACGACTCTCAGACCTGCTGCTCTGCCTCCCACGTCTAAAGACAAGCACAGGCGGTACTGTGGGCTTCACACCTGGGCCCATCAGGGCTCTCACAGTGGGTGGGGTGGGGGGTTTGTCAAGAGCAGCTGCCCCTTTTGGGGGCTCGAAAGGGAGATGGCCACATGTTGTCCTTTCCTTGAGCAGATCCCTTCTGGGAAGGACCCTGGAGCCCTGGACCACACATTTCCAGGATGGTGCCACAAACCCAGAGGACAGGAATGCAATATGACCTGTGATGGCCAGTCTCATCGCCACAGCCACCTGGAGTCATGGAACACTGAATACATGGCCAGAGTAATCAAGGAGTGAAATTTAATCTTATTTAGTTTCAATGAAGTTGCCGTATGAGGCCAACATCTACCATAAGCGCTTTATATTAATGAACTTAAACCTCTGACAGCCCTCCTGAAGAGTCCATGCTTATTCTCATCTTACAAATGAAGAAACTAAGGTCCAGACAGCTGAGGTCCCAGCCTGCAGGAGTCATGGAGCCAGTGGCTGGAGCTGGGATCTGAACCCAGGCAATCCAAGCCCAGGGTCCGTGTCCTGACTCTGAATTCACTTCTGATAACTCACAGATCTCTGTGGACCTTGAGGAAAGAGGCCGGCATGGTATTAAGAAGAGTAAGGAAGGAGGATTGCTTTATCCACCCGAGACCTCACAGCACTTTTGTACTGGAATAATAGTGGTCAGGGCTAGATAAGGACCTCTAACACACCCCAAGGAAGGGCCAGTCACACCACCCACCTGAACACAAAACACACAGTACACAGGACATCTCCCCAAGACGGCCTTGGGACAGAGTGCTAAGTGGCCTCTGCAACAGGCAGGTGGCATTACCTGGTGATGTCATAGACAAGGAGTGCCCCGGCCGCACCTCTGTAATAGCTTCTTGTCACAGACCTGAAAGAATGACAGTTTTACTTCCAGACTTTTACTACCAAACACCCATAAAACCCTGTATTTTCTTTGAGAGCCATAACACAGGGATAGGTATTGCTTCAAAAGAGAAATGACTTGGGACACCTGAACCTAGTGTGAGGTTATTCTGGGGGAAGTCATGTTACAGGGGTGATGGTAGGAGGGGTCAGATGCTCTCTACCAAGTGGGGGTAGCTCTTTGAGTGGGAAGCCCCTTTGAGAAGGCCCAAGGAGGCTCAGGTGTCTGCAGATGCCTGGGTGCTGTTCCCAACCCTAGGCATGTATTAAGTGCTCAATAAGCCTGTCACTTCTCTGTGGGCCACCATTTTCTTGTGCCTGGGCTGCTCCCTCTACCTCTTCCAGGGATAAGGGAAATCCCAGATGAAACAGCCTGGTCTTCAATCAGGAGCCCATGGTCACCTGTCCTGCATGGTCACCCTGCCCCCCACACATCTTCTTTTACTCCTGGCTTCACCTGCCTTCACTGAGGGCCCAAGCTCATGTCCACTTCACATTCTCAAGGACTTTTTTCCAGTAATACACTTTCCCCTGTACTATCAGCTTCTCCTTCTTGGCTGGATTTTCCCACTAGCAAAGTAACATTTGTCTCGTGCCTTCCACCTTAAACTACAGAATACACCTCATGGTCCCCTCTGTTCCTAACCTGCTGCACTCTTCTCACACCCAGATCCCCTCTCAGAGCTGTCTTTACTGGCCATTTCCTCACTCCCAGCCTGGCATCCACCTCAGCTGCTCCCTGTACAGCTTGTCCAGGACCTTCACCCCTGTGTATCCAAGTCTAGTGGTCATTTCCTTGCCCCAGCCCTGCCTCGCCTGTCACTCTCAGTGGGAGCCCCCCCCCGCCTCCGGGTGCCTGCAACTTGAGCTCTCCTCTCTCACCACCTCCAGTGAATCTGCCCATAGGCACTGGGGCCTTAACATCTGACTCAAAGTTTATCTCAACTCGGACTACTTCTATTACATCCAGGATTGTCCCAACACCTCCTGTGCCTGCCCAATGCACATGTTGTATTTGACCTGTGAGGCAGAACTCTTTGGCCCCTTCAGGTCTCTCCTGGTCTGGGGAGGGCATTGCTGGTGGCTCCCAAAGCAGATTGTCTGGGTGCTTATCCTCACCTCCTCCTGTCATCTTCAACCTGCCATCCATCTGCAGAGTTGTCTCACGTGCTAACATTGTGGCATCCACAGCCGCCATCCCCCTGGCCATCATGTCTCTCTGTCCTCTCCAAAGCAGTGACTGGCCAAGGCCTTTGAGACCCTGGTTGCCCTTTACCTGTGAATCTGAGCTGACTCCTGGTAGCTGGTGTCAGAACTGAGCTGAGTGGACGGATGCCCAACAGTGGGTTTTACTGGGAAATCAGTATCAGAATCCTCCAGCTTTCCCTCTCTGTGCATTTTTCTGCAGAGTCTTGGAACTTTCTCACCTGGGTGCTAGCAGCCAGGGAAGATGTGGGGACCAAGCCTAGGGTCCAAAGACTCACTCTCATTTCTCTTTTGGCCACCTTTTGCCCCCTCTTTTCTTCCCCCATCCCCTTTGGTGCAGACCTGCTTGACTGGGAGGCTGAACCTCTCATGGTGTCTGTGGCACTGCTGCCTTCAGATACCCTAGCAGGGTATCATCCTGCTTAGCCTCAGTAGGAGGAAGGGCCCATCACAGCACTGTAGGTGGATTGACCACAGCCCCACTTCCTGTCCTAGCACTCCTGAAACCTTGGCCATCAACTTCAGCCTTCTGAGCTAGTGCTGTCTCTGTCACTCTGGTCACTCAGGAGCTCTGGGGTGGGGGAGGATACAGATGTCTCATGCTTAGCCAGCACTTCCAGAGCAGTGGGGGCTGAGGTTGCTGTGGTGTTTTTGAAGCTATTAATGAACATTAATATATAATAACCCCCCTTTTTTTTTTGTGAGATGGGGTCTTGCTGCATCGCTCCAGGCTGGACTCAAGTGATCCTCCTGCCTCAACCTCCTGAGTATACAGGACTACAGGCGCACATCACTGCACCTGGCTATACCCAACTTTAATTAAACATGAAACAGTCTGAAGTGGGTGAAAACAAGGCAATTTCTTTACTTTGTTGTCTGCTTTCCACGGCACACAGGAGGCCACAGGCCAACCTCGTTTGCATGATCTGCAGTCCCACT